TTTGAGGCCTCACCAGGGTTGTTCCCCACAGACAGAGCAAAAATTGGTTATCTAATGAATCAATTAAAGGGCAAGGCCCTTGCCTGGGCTAATCCGTTGTGGGAGAGTAATCGGAGCATAGCTCATAATTACCAGGAATTCCTTGCCGAATTCAAGCTCACGTTTGAGCCATTGGATAGAGAGGATGACGCCTCCACTGCCCTAATACACATCAGACAAGGTAACCGGTCTATCTCGGATTATGCTATTGAATTCCGTACCTTAGCTTCCGAGGTAGACTGGACTAACAATGGGTTAATCTCAGCATTCAAAAAGGGTCTCTCAGAGACTATACTAGATGAGATGGCCGCTAAAGAATTACCTAAGAGTCTTAACGAATTTATTACGTTTGTCATGCATATTGATAATAGGTTAAGACTCAGAGAAGTCACCAGAAGCAAGACCAGACGTACGGCTATGTCCCTAGCACCTCAATTCTCTAAACCTGTTTGTCTAACCTCCCTGTACAGTCCGAACCCGAACCTATGCAGTTGGGGGTCACTAGACTGTCAGAGGCCGAAAAACAGTATAGGAGAAGGGAGGGGTTATGCCTATATTGCGGTAGAAAGGGACATATGATAACTAATTGTCCAGTGCGTCCGGAAAACTTTCGCACCTAAGAACCTTAAGGGGACAGATCTTAGGTGTGATGGAGTTGTCCTCTAACAAAAACAAAAGTAGATTCCTCCTTGAGGTATCTATTTCCCTTGATAACAAGAAGTTTTCTTGCAGTGCCCTAATGGACTCAGGTGCTGCTGGAAATTTTATTGATATCCAGTTTATTAGGGGTAATGAGATACCGGTCAGGGAGAGACCTACGCCGCTAGCTGTAGAGGCTATTGATGGTAGACCACTCACACAACCGCTTATAACCCACGAAACTGTCCCTATTACGATCTCCACTGGGGCCTCCCATAGGGAGGAGATGACGTTTCAGGTTATTACTTCTCCATCATGTCCTATCATATTAGGGTTTCCGTGGCTGAGTAAGCACAATCCTATATTGACTGGGCTAATGGGGAGATATTAGAATGGGGTAAAGAGTGTATGGGGAGATGTATAAAACCAGTACTAAAGAGATTGGATACTATTGACCTTCCCACTACCACTCCCCAAACTCCTGGAGTTCCCATACAATACGGAGAACTTCAGGAGGTGTTTAACAAGGCTCAATCTGATGTATTGCCTCCCCACAGAGCATATGACTGTGCCATTAACCTGTTTCCAGGCGCTATGCCACCTAAGGGGGCAGTTTATGCCTTATCTCCCCAGGAGAGTAAAATAATGGAGGAATACATCAAAGAATCCTTGAGCAAAGGGCACATAAGAAAGTCATCCTCTCTTTTGCAATAACCTGCTAGTCCAAGTTCCATGTACTTATTTATTTAAATGGTCTTCGGTCCTTAATATATTTGGTGCATTTTGTATGAATAACTTTCTCAGTACTTTACTTACACTCCAGTATACAGAGCAACACTTAAATTATGCATTGTGTATTGTGAAAGAAATATGTACTTAGGACTTTTTGCTCCAAGAGTGGTGAATTTGTGACAGCTGTTACTTTTATACTCTGTATCTTACTACATGATATGTGTTAGCGAATATATTTTTGTAAAATTGACAATAAAAATAAAAAAGCACATTTAAAATAAGGAAAAATACAGGTAAAAGAAAAAAAGATCATTATAATTTCCATTTAAGCATTTTTCATACTGTCCTAAAATCTTTCTAACATTTTATCAAATGCTGTTATTATCTTGATATTTGTTTCTTTGAAGCTTTCTTATGTAAAGTAAATTTAATGAGGATGCCACAAATTACACTTGAAATGCATGTGCCAGTCTTGAAAGTGCAATTATCATTATCGTTTATATTTTATAACGTTTTAACTTATGAAATATGTTTGTTATAAGGAAAAAAAATAATAAGTCTATTTATTTAAAAAAAAACATATTTGTGTACAGAATGCTGCTAAAGAAACAACTCAGATAGAAAAAAATATATATTTTTGTGTGTCAAACATATAATATTTTTTAATCGAACAGTCGGTTCTTGAATTTCAAGTGTGGGAAGCAGCAAGAATAGGCAAGCGAATAGATCTGAGTAACTTTGAGAAGGGCCACATAGCGATAGCTAGACAACTGTATTAGAGCATCTTCAAAATGGAAACTCTTGTGGGTTGTTCCCGCTATGCAGTGGTTAGTACCTACCAAAAGTGGTGCAAGGAAGGACAACAGTGTACCAGCATCAAGTTCATAGGCACCCAAGGCTCATTGATGAGTGTGGTGAGTGAAGGTTAGCCTATTTTTTCTGATAACAAAGAAGAGCTACTGTAGCTCAAATTGCTGAAAAAAAACTTTGTGCTGGCCATTATAGAATGGTGTCAGAACACACACAGTGCTTTGTAGTGGGTTTGCCTTATTTGCATGCAAGAGCTAAAGGAGTTTGCATTGGGATCTAAACACACATTATGGCATATAGAGAATGTGAAAACAATGTCAAATGCCAATTGAAAGAAGACATATAGCTGACTTTCATGTAGATACATTACATGTGCAGACGTAATTTACAATTAATTTTACAGTATTTTACAATTAATTTAAATCACTTGGGAGATATTGCTACTAGTTTTTGTAAAGTGATGTTGAGAAGCCCCACATTGAAAGAAACAGGTGAATAAGTAATAAATAATTTAAATCATAACTTGCTAACATAGATATAATTTTTTTATCAAAAAGTATGTTAGCAAGTTATGATTTAAATTTCTAAAATACTAGGCCACTAGTATTATAGTAATACTAGGCCACAAATATATAAAACTTCCAGGCTAATCTATAGGCCTCAAACTGAAATAGAGACAATATTAAGCCTGCCAATTTACATATTTTAAAAACAAAATGTGTGCTTTGTAAAATTCCCATAATTTACATCTGTTATGGATATTTGATTTGCCTTTTGCAAATATTGCACTTCACTATATTTCAGATATACTTAAGGCAGTTGAAATGGTGCACCTTAAGAAAATATCTAAACAAAAACACATCACACATACATATAAACTCACACATAATAATTGATAAAAGACCACTAAAGACAACCAGAGCAGTTCATCTCAATGAAATGATCTTGGTACAGTGTTCCTGTCATTTTAGCACTTCATAAAACTTTGCCATTTTACATTGAGAGTTTAAATACAGTTCCAGTGGCTGTATTCTTGACATCCACTAGAAGCCCTTCTACCTCCAGAACTAGGTCAAGCACAATTCTTCAATCAAATGCTGCTCTTCGCAGAATGTGGTTGATAGATCACTGTGTTTGCCACCCATGCGTATCTCATCCCCAATGCTTCTCTATGAGAAGCATTAGAATTGACAAGATCACAGGAGAGGCAGGAAGCGTGCTAACTAGGATGGAAGCATAGCAGGATGCTGCAGTGGAGATATCTCAGAGATGAAAAAAAGGTAATCTTTATTATACTGAACTTTTATACACCAGAGGGTAGTGGACAGAAATCACATCAACAGAAGGGAACTTATAGTCTCCAAAAAATGATTATTATTTTCGGGACAATAGGTTCACTGAATTAAGGTTGAGTGAATGAGTGAATTGTTCACCTTATCATAATGCATCTTACAATTCAATCTGAACATTATTTTATAACCCTAGATCCATTTACGATCAATTTTAATGATTGGTCTGTGAGCTCATATGAGCATTAGTGAGGAAGCATACCATGGGCATGAATCCACTTCAATGCTTTATACTATACATTATTCATTAAATCATATATTTTTGCATTTTATGCACTCATTGACAGTGGCACTAAATAAAATGGGATGTACCTACTTTTTAACATCCTCCTATACATATCTTGTATGTCATACCATATTGGATGTCACCACCGAAATGATCAATATCTGCAGTCAGCAAGTCTCTTCATTCTGTTTCCCCATAATTCCACATATGGGGAATTCACTCAACTAATAATTGCTTTTAGCTGATACGAACAAATTAATTTCCTTTTATTCTACACCAGAATGAATTGTTCCAACCAGGATTTACCTGTGGAGTCTTATTCTTTATATAAGACTTTGCAGATAAATTGTGGACAATCAATTAATTCAGGAGTAGATTAAAAGGAATTTGATTCATTCATGCGAGTTAAAAAGCATTAATGTGCAAGTCTAGTAATATTATGATCGTTAAGTAGAAATGTTTCACCTCCATGCTCACCTATCTAGATTTTAGTCGCCAGACCAATAAATGTAAAACACCTTAAACCTCACACTGAAAAAAATTATTCCTCTTAGATACCAATAACTGTCACACTATTAAGAGAAGCATGAAAACAAAACTTATTTTCTCTTAATGGTCCTCCAACGAGTTACTTTCATAGCAAAATTTTTCTACCCAACAATGGGCTAATTTCTATGTGCAGATTGATTATGGAAATGTTTATCTATGAATGCATAAATTCAGTCCCTTAGTGATTAAGGTTTCATTTTATTAACAGGTTTACATAGTCAACTTCTGCGCATCTCGCACACACTTAGCATTTGCTGTGTTGAAACATGAATGTACATCGTGATAAATTAAATTTTTTTAGTTTATTGCCATAGCAACCACACCAGAATATCTATAAACTGTAATGCATTCTCTTGTTTGTTATCTTGATAAAGACCATGAAGGGTCAAAACTTTGCTAACTTCTGATGAAAAATAACCTGTGCACCTTCGATCATCTAAACAAGTTGCCTTTGGTGTTTCCATAAATCTTACTTGCCAACTTTCACACACATTTATTGAAAATGTAATGCTCATATGTAATTAATAAATGAAATGTAATATGTAGGGATTGTTTGCAGTTGTTAACTTGTATTTTTACCTTTAGATAAAAGGGCACAAGTTTTAGACAGATAGCAACAGACAGTAATTTGTATTATTTTAAAGCTGCACTGTCATGCCGTACTTATCTTTTTCCAATCTTTTCCTCTTTCCTACTCTATCTTTCTTTTTTTTAATTTTTCATCTATTTCTCACTAAAAACATAAGAAAAAGTAAGATAGAGTAGGAAAGAGGAAAAGATTGGAAAAAGATAAGTACGGCATGACAGTGCAGCTTTAAAATAATACAAATTACTGTCTGTTGCTATCTGTCTAAAACTTGTGCCCTTTTATCTAAAGGTAAAAATACAAGTTATGTATTTTTCCTAGACCTGGCAGTTCTAGACACTGGGCGGCGATACCACCATCTAAAGTGTCAATCCCCCCCAGCCTTCATCAGTGACGGCTGCAGGAAATTGGCACTGTCTATGGATAATAGAAGTCATGTGATACTTAAGGATTACAAACTCCTATTAATCTCTTCACAAGTGAATCTATCCACATTTCTGTGTGTTTATGACTGATGCTTTTTTGGCACTTTTGCAGTATGTTTGTTCCACCAAAATTGAAAGCTTTACTTACTTATTATATATTATATATTAAATGGCACATAGCAGCCCCAACTACATTTCAACCCTTATGATCGTTTATAATTTCTTAAAGAAGACAACTTGAGCTATTTAATATGGAGAAATCTGACTTGGACATAAAGATTTTATTCCCTTTTTTCCAGTGCTGAAACTCCCTCCCCTTTGCCGCTCACTGCTCACTGCTCTACCTCACACAACATCATCGAGAAGACATGGCTCTCTCGGGAGATGATCATAGGAGGATTGAGGGACCTCATGTGATTGTGCAGTGAGTGCAGCATGCACATCCAATACTTCTCACAGGAAAGCATTGAACCCAGTGCTTTCCTATAAGCTTCAGCATCATGTGCGTCAGTATGACAGCCACTAGAGGCGTGTTTAGCCATTCAGGGCAATTATTGTCCTTTCTGAAGATGGCAATGTTTTACCTTGAAGGGTTAAAATGATAGGGCCACTGCACCAAGGCCATTTAATTAAGTTAGTTGCTGGGGGTGCAAATAGTCCCTGGAACAAAAGTGCAAATATTTCTGAATGTGCAGCATTTCAAGCAGAAAAATTGCACATACAGATTCCAACCACCATGACCACCTCTAAAAGCAGAAATGGTCATGTACTGAAGTAGCACTAACTATTTTCAGAGCTCAGTTCTGGGTTTTTCAAGAAGTATATGTTTTATATAATCAAGACCTTCTAATTAGTTTTCAAACGCTGACCTCGCTTGAGCAAATCCAAGATAATAAGCACACTATTAGAAAAAGTCTTTACTATAATAATATAATACTTTTGAATTATCTTCTCTGTTGATATATATTTATGCCTCGACCATTAAATCTAAAAGAAATATTGGATATGTATCCCTGAAAAATAAGAAATCTACAGTATTTTGACTGTTACATTGTGTGTTTTTATCAGTTCAATTTCTATTAACTCATAGAAAATGACCTTTAGGCATATGTTATTGAGCCATATATAAACAGGAAAAATATTGTTAACAGAGAGAATTATTTCCCCCACTTGTTTTCTCTTGTCATGTCTATATTAATCAGAATAATCATTGCACTGAAAGGAACAAGTTCAATGTATAATCATTTTGACCAATGTGCTGTTACATGTGTTTGAGAGTAACTGATATTAACAATGACATCTAACGTGTGTTATTTTCTAATTTACTCATTTGTACAATTAATGTTTTCTCTTTGAGAGTGCTATTCTTAAGGTATTTCTGCTGCTGAATGCCCATAATCTGTCAATATTTTTGTTTGGAAATGGAGATACTCCGGGTAAATTGTACTCACATTTCATTCTTTCTTCGAGAATATACAATAAGAGAACATACCCTCACTTGAGGCTCTAATAAAGTGTAGGACACACAAGATTCTCAACAAAATCCACTAAAATATATGTGGGATCCGGAATACTTGACCACCCCAAGCAATTTAAATAAAGTGATTAACCTATTCCAGACATTAGGGGTACCAGTCTCTCCCAAAAAAACAAAAGGTCTTGACACCATCATTAATTTCCTGGGCATTCACCTTGATTCTGTGGCCATGGTAGCCAGCCTCCCACAAGATACGGTCAATAATATCCTTAAAATCATCAATTAATATATTCAAATCAGATCCTGTAACCTTAAGGAGTTACAATCTCTGCTAGGCTCCCTTTAATTTGCAATGAGAATCATCCCAAAAGGTAGAGCCTTCTATCTAGACTCCTTAGCCTACTCCCAGAATTTTCAAATGACAGCAGTCGTATCTCCCTCAACTCACAAGCTACCACTGACCTTCTTATGTGGCACAAATTTCTGTTAAAATGGAATGGGAAATGTCTGTTTCTCCTACAGTTATCTCTACATTCCCCTGTCATCTGGACATATGCTGCAGCTACCAATTGGCTCTGGGGTAGTTAGCCAGAGGAGGTGATGGACATAGAAGGAGTCTCTTTCAACTAAGCCTTGTTTGAGGTGTACTCTATAGTAGCTGCAGCAGTGGTTTGGGGCCATTTGTGGGCCAGCTGTTTAGTACAATGTTTTTCCAACAACCAAGTAGTTTGCCATATTATAAACAAAGGACGTTCATCTTTACTGACTATCATGAGATTTATCAGGAAACTGACTTGGTTAGTGGCCTGTAATCAATTTTACTTGGTTTATTGTCATGTCCCAGAAGTTTTCAATACCGCAACTGATCAATTGTCTTGTTTTCAATTCCATGCATTCCGAGAAACCCTACCTATTGTCTCACATCTAGCTACAACCGCCCCCCTGTTCCAAGATCTAATTATTGCAAGGGCAATATGGTTTGATGATGGATATGGGTTCCTGCTGGAACTATCTAAAAACCATACTGCACATACGGGAACCTGAACCGCAAATGTGAGAATGGCATGACAAGATCTTCTGATTCGCACATTCCCACTTGAGTGATATATGATGCTAAAAACATGGCTGCTTCAGGAGCCTCATGGTGTAGGGTAATGGCTATATTTACTTGCTATAATTACTGCTATAATCACTGACTGTATTTCATATGTGAACGTTAACAGATCACTCCATCTGAACTCTTCCGATGGCACAGTGTTTCAACTCGGCAAGGCAATAGCAAATGGTCCTAAAATAGCAGAGGAAACCGAGAAGTAACAAAGGTATTCAGCTGGAGTACCAGGAGGCCGTTACATATGTATATAAACAAAAAGACTATTACAGATTGTTGAACTGACATAAACAGAGATCTGCCCACTAACACTAGAAGACATGAAAGTGTATTCCCTAAACAATAAAAGTCTCAATTTAATATATTTGAATGAGTTTTTCAAATAATCTCATATTTTTGGATAAACATTTGATATGATGTACTTTTTTAAACATTAGAACTATATCCCATATAAAATATATTTAACAATATATAAAAGAATGACACAAAAAAAGCACAAAAAGTGCTGTGCCACGTATACAACAGAATTTCTAAGACAATTGACAAAATTAAATGCAAGTCACTAGAGAAAATACATACTATATAGTCCAAAATAAAAGTCCTCACATAAAAAGATGCCTTTAGTTAAGAGGTAAGTGTAGCTGTGAATGTTTGATAAAACGTAGGTTTCTTGAACTTGGAAGCAGTAAAAATATATAAAATGCCAGGAAGTATAGAATAGTATAAAAAAGGTAATTGGCACAGTATGCGATTGCAGTGAACAAAAAAAACCTTTATTGATTAAAATACAAAGTAATAACATCCATAACACATTTCACCTGTATTGCTTTTTCAAATAGAGTTTTTACTCAATTTGAAAAAGCCATACAGATGAAACGTGTTATGGATGTTATTATTTTGTATTTTAATCAATAAAGGTTTTTTGGTAACCGCACTCCTGTACTGTGCCAATTACCTTATTTTATACTAGTCTATACTTCCTGGCATTTTACATATTTTTCTATTCTACAAAACCTACTCCAAAGAAATCCCAGGTGGGGATCATACCACCATCGCTGACATCATAGAGAAGGGAGTCTGTAAATACCATTGTTTTATTTATTTTAACTAAGTCTTATTATCTTATTGAGAGCACTATCTGTTGCCTTTCTATCTTTTCCTGAGTGTCAGGACATTTCCATCACTATGGATATTTTCCATCATACCCTATAAGTGGGAATTGTACAAGATTACAGTTTCCAAGTCCAAGAAACCTATGTTTTGTAAACTTACTCTACTGTCCTGCAGTATGTGGGCCGCACTTGCAGAAGGCTAAAAGAGCGTATTTTAGAACACAAAAATATCATTAGGAAACATTTTAATAAACATATAGTCCCCATCCATTGTAACGCATGTGCTAAATTTAGTTGGAAAGATTTTTATTAAGTGGGTCTGAAAAAATTGAAAATGATTGGAAAGGTGGAAACATAATAAAAAGAAATTAGCATAATGTGAAATTTATTAGATTAACACGTTAAAAAACCTCCAACCAGGGGAACTAAATGTGGATATAGACCTACGGTGCTTTTTAGAGAAGTTATTTTCCTTGCCCTTTTTTTGTTTTAGCTTTTGTATCTTCATTTGTGAAAGAACTGTTTTTGTGTGTTAAAACATTTTACAAAAGTAGTGAATAGAAGTATTCAGTGCTCAATTATCAATATTGATCTATCCCTAACAGGATTGTTTTATTAATTGATATATTTTAAAATTTGGTGTTTAATAAAGTATTTTTTATGTAAACTGTCATTAGCAGTCATTAACCTTTTTTTTCCCTCCCCCCTTCCAATATGTTTTGCCTGCCCATCCACTCATTTCAAGAACTCTTTGTATGACATATCGGACTCCCTAGAATTGGAACGCACGGTGGAACGCATGCGCCACCATGAGACTTCGGTGGAAATAATGACAATGCTGAAACTCATGCGTGGAATGCATGACGTCATCGCGCACTGGATGCGATGACGCCAGATGGACAGAACCAGGAAGTAATCATGTGAAGATCGAGATTAGCCAGAGAAGAATGAAGGAACCTATGGGAAGAAGATTTGGACTGATTGTGGGGTGAATATATGTGGGAGAGACGGGAGGGAGATTTGTATGCACTTTGTACCTATCTTTAATTGAGAAACAGTCCCTGAGAGGGATGAAATGCGTAGGATTTGATTTTATCTTGTGAATCTCTTGATGTCAGTTGTCCTTTACTTCTGCTTAAGTAAGTCAATTTTGCATTGTGCACTTTATCCATATACTGTAGTTATCTTAATTTATGTTTATCTATTTTACATGAATGAGACCTACATCATTAAAATCCATGAATTGAGAAGATATATATCCAAAGATTTCTGAAGGTTTTTTATTTGTCTCCAAAGTGTAAGTGGTCAATTGACACCAAAATATACACCAAATTGGGTTAGACAGTGTTGCACTATGTTGTATCATTCTTATCTCCCCTAGCTGGACAAACACTATATATTGCATTTTCATGTCTTGGAGCTGCTTGCTTTATATTAGTGCACAGTGCAGCATGCCAAGCTTTAGCTAAAGGATAAGCAAGCCTCTTACAGCAAAATATTACTGATTCTAAGTGCTAATTTCAAATAAAATTGCAGAGCTGTAGTATACCTTCTGCGTGTTTCCAAGGCAGGACAAAACATGTACATTGATATCAACTAAAGCTAGGAGTAAATTGTGCATTTTAATCCCTTCACTAATGCAATAATAACTTACATTTTAACCCATTCTGCAGCTGTACAGGCAAGTGGGAAAATCTACAGATCTCACAGCCCAGTTCTGCACTGCTCTGAGTGCAGGTCTACACCTACGACTGGGTGAAGAGTGCTGCCAATGTTCCCTCCTCCTGTTCAGAGACTGGAAGGGAGCATTCAGAGGAGAGTGCACCCAGTTGGAGGTACAGACAGGCAGCAAAGTCCACTGGACTACAAGGAAAAGTAATTATTCCCCTCCGTGCCCAACAAGGAAGCAGGAGGGAGGTAACAATAATTTTATGGAGATTATTATGTGCAATGAGGCTGGATACACAAATTCAAAATTCCCACACAAAGTCAACCTCACTTTTATCCCACAGTTCCCATAACAATGAGCCAAATAGTTATCCCACAGTTCTCTCTTACAGTGACTCCTACAGTCATCCCCAGAGACATCCACCTCAGTAACCCTTCATACAGTAAAATCTTACACAGTTACTTTCATGAGCACACAATTACCCCCACACATGTACCTCATGCATTCAAAATCACCTACAAATCAGTTAACTTTATACATGTTCAATGATTCCCTCAAACACACTTTTATGCTCTTACACAGTCACATACATCAAACCATAAGCAGCTCTCCTACACATATAACAAGCCACAAGAAAACTAACACACATTCAAACTCAAAGACACAGATGTATATATTCACAGACACATAGATATACTTTGCAGACAGACTCACTGAAACACATACACATAAATATACACTCATAGACACAAATACAAAAATAGTATTCAAAACCAGACACACACTCCGGTATAAACACAGATATTCAATGTCAGAAATACACACAGCCATTAACACACTGCCAGACACATCATGTGACTGTTTGTCTATATCTTTCAATATGTGTGTGTCTGTATATCAGTATGTGTGTGTATGTGTGTATCCAAAGCGGCAACATGGCTCAAATGTGTTTAATGTATACAATGTACATGGGACAATATATAAGTGGAAGGAATATAATATATGTGGAGAAAAAATATCAATAATATATTTACAGGTTATTTATTTACAACACTGTTTTTCTTATCTATAACTTCATTATTTAGTAAATTGTATTTTAAAAGTTTCCAGTCAAATTTTTTTTACATTTTTTTTATATACATATTGAAATGAAAAATGCATTTAAACAATACTTTCCAGGAAATAATTGGATCCCATGTACAATGTACATGGGATAATATATAAGTGGAAGGAATATAATATATGTGGAGAAAAAATATCAATAATATATTAACAGGTTATATATTTACAACACTGTTTTTCTTATCTATAACTTCATTATTTAGTAAATTGTATTTTAAAAGTTTCCAGTCAATCAAATTTTTTTTTTACATTTTTTTTATATACATATTGAAATGAAAAATACATTTAAACAATACTTTCCAGGAAATAATTGGATTCTGGTAGTGTTTTTTTTTTTTCCAGCAAACAGTTTGGTAATGAAGTGGTTAAAAGCTGTAAATTAGGGGCGGGGCCTAACCACTGAGAGCAGAGGAAGCAAACTTGTATAGCTCCTGCTCTGCAGCTCTAATTAAGTGGAATTCGACCATCAAAACAGCCCAAAAAGGACACCAAGCGGAAGGTGACAACCAGGGGCAGACAATGATGCCACACAAGTGACATACTACACTTCGGCATACTACACCTGCCCTACCCATTAGGCCTACACACGTGGTCGGCGTGAGGGAGATGGCCGCTCCCCCGCCGACATCTACGGCTGACAAGCAGAGACCAGCCCCTCGTTCCCCCCCATGGACCGGTGGGGGTTATCCCGGTCCACTCTCGGGAGATCCTGGTACAACCCGGTAAGAATGCCGCAGCGACACAGGAGCCTGCAACAAGCGACGACACTGCACCTAAAATGGCGGAGGCAGCATGCTCCTCCAGCACTCACAGAGAGCAGCCAGAGGTCGAGCACAGGCTAGACAAGGCCTTCCAAATCTTCTGGGACAAACTGGAGGCTCTTATGTTCCCGGCGAACTCGGCGATTGTACCTGACACCCGGCCACATGCTCACCCAAGCAGGGTCAAACAGAAGAAGGCACAGACACCTCAAACACAGACACCCCAAAAGGCCAAAAGCAGCGGGACAATCCAAGGCAGCAGGGGACTGGAGATCAGTCAGGTGGCAACAGGAGCATACCGATTGCCCCTGGGAACCAGCGGGTAACAGTGCGGATGCACATCGGCCCACTCTCACGCCAGCCTGATAACGGGGGCCCAACACCAAGAGGCCAGACACACATGAGACTATGGCAAATACGTGCCTGGAGCCTCCCGTTGCGGGGCATCGCTTAAACAACCCACAAGGACACTCTGCAAGCATGCAACGCCTGCGGTAATCACACCATCTGGAGTCCTCCTGGCAATCTCAGGCGATTTAAAGTTTGATCCTCTCCAGAACACTAAGTATATACAATTGGACTAGATTACCAATAACACCCTGTTTAATGCATTACTTTCGCTACCTTGTTTGCCATTGAACCCAAGCCATACCCTGTAAGCTTGTGTCACTATCACATTTTCACTAATAATGCAATGACACCTCAGGCAATCAACCTGCCTGCACTAAAAAAGGTCTTTAGCCTATTCATGCACAAACGATGCCCTTTTCACCTGCCTGATCTGCCTAGCATGTACTATAAACGTGGAACTATGCATTCCTCCATACATAAATATGTTATTTTATAATCTGCTTAACATGTAGGATAAATGTTGATCTATATGCAGCAGTGAGTTGTCGGACTAGCCTGTATAGTCGTGTCTATAATTATAATTTTAGTTGAACATAGCCTGTAAACTTTCAGATGTACCTATCTCAATAATCAGTGTGTGTCACAAACTCTTAGACCACAGCATGCAAAAATCTGATGCACATATCCTAGCAACAAGTATTACTACCCTGTTGTTTCTCACAAACAAAAAATGTGCTTTTTATTCCTGCCATGACAATGTTTTCCATCAAAATGCCTGTACATGCTGTTGTGGCGCTACAGGTCTCTATGTTATGTAATCATATGCACAAGAAAAATAAAGAATAAAAAAAATAAAAAAATAAAAAAGCTGTA